TTTTTTCTCTGCAGATTGTTGATTTATTATTATTATTATTTTAGTTTAAAAACTTTTGGAAAAATTTTAATGTGCTCAAAAATAAGTCAAATTTAAAATTTTGAGCTAACAAAAATTTATATCATTTTTTTTTTTTTTCAAAATATTCCGGTATTTTTTAATTAAAATTGACATTAGATCATTTTTTACGTAAAAAAATGCTTTTATATCCTTAAGGATTAGTTTTATTTTCGCATCAATTTTTTATACTAATATTTTATAGTGCTTCAAATGTCACATAATCTGTTTAGTTCATTGTCATAATATTTTCACCTGTCTAATCATAACAATTATAAAAACTCTTCTTCCCGTAAAAGAAAAGGTTACTTAATATTTTAAAATAGAATAACAAAAAGACAAACGTCAGTCTCAATTCCTTTTTTAATCATAATAAAAAATATAATTTCTTTACTTTTACTTTACTACATACGTATTTTATATATATAAATATTTTTCTTGAAAAATAAAATTATAAAAATAGATCCGGTGGAGAATAAATATAAAAGATAAGAAAAAACTAAAAATCTAAATGAACTTACTACATACAGGAGTAATGAAGCAATACGCTTTTTATTGTAAAGCATTTTATGTTATGGTTGAAATAAAATATTAAATGAAAGAAAATACATTGGTTAACAGGGAACATGTGGCTGGTATATATATATGGGTTTATATACATTCCATCGGGTTATCGGCAAGTCAAAGCTCAAAGTGGTAGGTCCGCCCTGAATATACATCGTGAGGGCGTAGAGAATGAATCTGTACGTGGTCAAGAAAAAAACCTAATAAAATAAAATAATTTTTTGTATCTCAAATTAAACCGGCTGTGTTCGTTGCAATGACTTGTAGTTCTTCAGGACTTTTATTTAGTCCTCAATTTTTATAATACTTTTATATTTATCAATCAACTTTTATACATTTAATTAAACCTTTTTTACTGGTTCACATGCAATGGAGATGATTGATCAAAATTCAATTTTGTTTTTGCAATTCTACAAGTGAATTGATATATACCATTAGTATTAAGTGTTACTGATTTATATTACGCATTATGTGTCATAAATATATTCATACATTAAATTTCCAAATAAATATGCACCAGTAACCGGATATGTATCATTGCGATATCCGGGGATTCATAAATTGATTTTATCATTTTAATCAATAAAACATATAAATTGTTTAAATATTATTTTTTATTTCCATTAATATGTTTACAGGACATAACAATTTCATTTATAAACACGACAAAAAATATTACTATTGAGTATAATTATTGAACTATATGATATATATAAAAACAATAACTCTAGAGATAACTTAAATTACGTTGATAAAAAAAATATATATATACACATGTGTTTATCGTTTTTGTCGACGAAAAATAAATAAGATATGTTTTGACTTCAACAAAAAAATTTTCAGTGTTAAAATAATTATAGTATCGATAAATAATCATGAATATGAATTGAAATGAAAAAAAAAAAATTGAGTGACAGTAAATTAAAGCACGTAAAATAATTTAAAAAAATGATTAAGCTCCGATATTTTATTCAAATAAAATAGCCTACACAATAAATAATATCTCGTTTTACTTCATTTTCTGTATAGACATTCAACTGTAATACAGTCCACGTACGAGCCAAGCATTTTAAATTTATCTTTATACTATATACTAAAAAAAAGCTACGATCCAATCATAAAATACGAGCATACATATACTCGCATGTATATATATCAAATATATCAAGATCCAAATTTACAAATGTACCACAACACCGCCGATTTATAAACCAATGAGTATAATTTACTTGAAAAATAAAAGAATTCACATCTATTTCTTTCCTATAAAAAATTTAGGAAGTAATTATTAATAAAAAATAGAAAAATTAATGTGTGAAAACTTTTCAAAAATTATTTTATAATTGACAATGCATAAATATAACTTATTCAATAAATAGAACAATTTGAAATGTTCTATTTTTATATTATAAATTTTTCATATAATTTTTTTAGACAAATGCGCATAAAATATCTATCTTTTGTGGTCAGCCATTGAAGACGTAAATTATAAAGGCAATTGTTCAATAAAATGGATAGTGGATCAAATTTATATTTAAAAAATCGTACAACTTAGTGAAATATATAACATTGAAGTTTCAAAATTGGCAAAACTTTTTGTAAATTTTTTTATGAATAAAGCACAAGTTTTTCGAGGCGTGCAAAAGACAAAATTTTAAATTATCGAAGCCTCCATACAAGTATTTACAATAGGCTAGTCACAAGTTGGACTAAAAATCAACAACCTGTTGCACCTTTTTCTCCCCTTCCTCGGTACGACCGTCGATTGTTTGAATTGTTGATTTCGCTTAAATTTTATTTATCTTCTTGGAGAAGCATAACAATATATATAAATTGAACTTGAGATTTATCTCTGTTTATCTTCGTTTCTGGTGTCCGTCACTGTTAAACTTCTTGCGAGTATAGAGTGGCAACCTTCTCTAAAAACATTTTATTTCACTTAACTTATTCTGCACTCGATCTCTTTTACACTCCAAACTCTTGAGATAGTTTGCCCTTCGTCGTAGTTACGTTTATAGCAAGTGAAGGCTTCACTTGCGCATGTTACCCTGATGGTACAAAAGCCTTAAACGTTGCACTCTGTTGCTCTCGGTTATTGTTGCTTCTTCATCGCACTACCGGAACACCCGATGTATTTTTCTCACCACTTCCTTTCTCACTTCACTTCACAGCTACGTACGCTACTCGTATCCACTCTTACCAGCTTTTCACATCTTTCTTCTTATTCATTCTATTCTTCCACGTACGTACTGTTTTTCTTTCTTGTACTATTCGCGCCCTCTACTCACACGTCACTCACTCATTCGCTTACCACCACCAATACACGTCATTTTTAAAGTCTCGTAGTCTTCTTTTATTTTCATCCGTCGTGCTCTTTAGCTTCACGTCCACTTCATGTCTGTCTTTGTTTACAGTCTTACCATTTTCATTCTCTATTGCTTTTCCTCGTGAACAAAGATACTCATAGTGCTTCCTCTACCAGCTACTGATCTCTTGGTCTACGGTATTATTTAATAGAAGAGTGCAATCTTCATTTATTTTCCAACTTACCTCGAGATTTCTTTTTACGAAAAAATTGTCTTCAATTTTTTTTTCTGTTTGAGATAAGAAAAAACGTGTGCTGATAAAAGAACTCGGTTTTTATTACAACAACTTTCTTTTTACGAAAAGTTTATTTTTATTTATTTTTGTTATTAAATTACGGTCATTAAAAATTATTACAAAATTTTCTTCTCAAAAATTGCTATGTTACAGGTTATCAAAGTTATTTACCAATTGAAGAAAAAAAACTAAAATTAAAAAAAAAAATTCCTATCTACTCTGAAAAGCGCTTCTTAAAAAGAAGATAACCTTTCTTCTTTTCTTGAACTTGAACTCGTTACGGGTTTTGAGAATTAGACATAATCAATTGATAAACAACTTTTGGCAATTAAATTTTTGTATAAGAAACATAAAAAAAAAGGCATATTTAACAAGAAGAAATTTTTCTTTTCATAATACTTAAATTGAAATGAATCTTGATACCTGTTTGTCAGTAGAGGCAAGACAATTTCAGACTAATGCAAATGATGGAATTCCTAAGGGAGATTCTGGATGGTTTCTGCTCACTGTATTAGTTTCTGACTTCATTTGAATTTTGCTAGAGTAGGATTTACGTATTGTTAGTCTCAAAATAACTAACTAGGTAATTAGTAATCAAACAATAGTTGAAAAATAAGAGTGAATAAAAATATTGATTGAAAAAAATAGTTCAATAGTTCCTCTATTGAAATAATATTGTACGTAATAAAGAAAAAAATTTTTTTTTAATTTCTAAAAGGTAAAAGAAATAAAGTTTGCAATTGACACTCAATCGAGTTAATATAGTTATAAATTGAAGATAGCAAAAAAAATAAGGTAGCAGATGACACAAGAATAAAGTAAGGTGGAAGAATTAAAATAGAAAGATATAGGATTTTGATTGTTCCAGGTGTCGGTTGTGGATATGGCACAGTAAGACCTGTTCTCATAGGAATGTCGAGGATCCTATTATAGTTTATAATACATATAATCCCTGGTGGCTTCCTTATTCAGCCTCGCTTTCGAGCTGGGTAGTCTTCGTCGTCCCTATGACCAACATCTGGTTCAATGATTCATTCATTTCTTATACCCTCAAAACTCAATCCTTTTCTTCTCGCTCAAATTTCGTGGATAAACCCGTTTTAAATCGGCTTTTCATGCATATTGATCTCACAAGTATATTTATAGAGGTTGACGAACGTTATAAGTTTTACATAATAATAATAATATAACTCCCATTTATTACTCAAAAACTAATATTTATTTTCCATTTATAGATTCTACAAATTATCACTTTTTATGTTTGTGGGATATATAATATAAATAATTAAGAATTTTCTTTTATGTTAGTATATATTTACTAGAGTAATCCAAATAAATATAAATCTAGATCTGTCATTTTAGATGTGAAACCTACCGCATAAATTTGTCACAAACTGCTACATATCACGTGTCTGAATTATGTAGATTTAATATAAAATCTGAGATTAAATTGTCACATTACTTTTTATGGATAAATTACTCTCAGAGTATAAACAAATTTTTCAACGTACATCAATCAAAAGTATGCTTTCATCGAGGAAATATCTTGTAAATCTAGCCGGAATTTTCAAAAATTAAACCATAGGGTATTTTAGTTCAATAATTTTCGTTGTGCTATATCATTTTTCTCAGTAATTTAGTTATGTATACAAATTCTTAAATAAAGAATCTTTCTTGTACTAAAATTATTCGATGAATATTAACTTTAAAGGTATTTTTTTTTTTTTTCTTAATTTGTTTAAAGTCGCATAAAGGGTAGCTACTAAGGTCATGAGCGACTACGGTAGGGGGCAAACTTTTGAGATTGGAACTCGTTTTATTTCTTGGGCTGAGCAGTATAATACACTTAAATATTGAAAATATTCATTGGTGTACGCCGGACTCGAACCCGGTCCAATGCTTTGGTAAGCAAGGGCTGGATCCGATAGGCTACTGCGCGCCCTTTTAAAGGTATTATTATTTTTTTTTCCTACAAACTAATATATTTATTGAATATTTTAGATTTAAGTTTAATTTAGTACCATATTATATAATATAAAAGAAGTAATAGTTAGAGTAATACAAAAAGATCATGAAGACGATAAGTCTCTTTCAGTATATCGCCCAAGGCGAATGTGTCTTGTCATCTTATTTGTTACTAGATTTTCTTATTTATTATTATCACTGTGTATAGAACTATTCATTATTTTTTCTTAAGAAAAATGTGACTTTAATTACGATATTTCATTTTAACGCTCGCTTATAACTTATAATGAAGTATATTAATTTCAATTGATTAAGAATTATATCTTCTTTAAAGAATTTAAGTTTAATTGTGAATCAAATGGAAGTATTTTTTTATTGATTGAATAATAATGAAAATTAAATTTTTTTTCATCTCAAGTGAGTAAAAAAAATTTTTTTTTAATTCTGAAAGTTGAATTAAAAAAACTAAAATTCAAATTTATCGAGATCCAAATTTTTTGCGCTAATAAGACGTGTATAGAATTTATTTGATCAATCAAAATTTTGTTTTAATTCCAATATGTCTTAAAATCCCAAGTTTATAAATTTTTCAATTTTTAATTTCGATTTTTGATTTCTTTCGTCAGCGTTAACGAATAAATGATTGAGTAATTTGTTGATCTTGACCGTTAATAATATTATATGATGACGTTATATCCCTCTTATATCAGTTGAGCAGACATAAATAAAGTTTTAAATTTGTCTCATATATATATATATAGAATATATATAAATTTGTCGGCGTCTAAACATTTTCGACATACCATTGTGATCTTCAATGTGGGTGTATAAGACGACTCAAGAGTCATAGACCTTAAGGAGTATTTATAAACTTTTGGGTAACGCGATTATTCGTGTCATTTATATCCGCATCATGTATAAGTTTCCGCATTGTGTTTATGTAAGCGATATATTCGATTAAAAAGGCTCGGATATCTAAACTTATATGTATCTAATGTAATTAAACGAATCGAAGAATTATTTTTAAACGTGAAGCAATCCATTCTTATCTCGGTCAAAAATAAAATAGTTAGGTCCACGTCATGACGGTATCGAGCTTTATTTGTACGCTAATAAAAAAGTGATGGTTTATTGATAAATGTAGATTATTGTGTTAGAACTTGTAAAAAATGTGTCCCATCATTGGATCAGTAATTATCGATGATGCTGAAGCAGTTGACAAGGTGAATAAAACGAGTTTTCGCGTTAATCTAGACGCAATCGCCGCTTCCGAGCTAATCTGTAATGAAATCTCTTTCGTTCCCACTTTATCGGTGTCTCTGTCACCCACACGTTCTCTCACTTTTTTCCATCTCACTCGCGTTAACATTTTCAGGAGCACACGGACACAATATTCAAGAGATAACGGACGTTTATTATGCCACCAAAATGCCAGTGGATTCTGAAACTGTCGACGCATAAATGCGAATGTCGAGTATACCAGATCATACATGATAAGTATCTCATTGCGGATTAATAATAGCGTGTTTCACAGATGCTCAGAATGTTAAATATGTATCTCTGTATCTACAGATACTGGGAAAACTCCAGCTACTGCTCACTATATTTTTCATTCCAATAGTAAATCATAAAACCGTTTTAAAACTTTTTAATCGACTTTTTACTATTATAACAAACTACTCAAAAAGTTTTGGAATTTAAAAAGTATTAAAAATGTATGCCTGAAACGACTGTTCGTTAAGAAAAATTAATTTCTAAAAATTGGAACGTCCTTGAGCAATTATATGTTGATACAATTTCAAAAAATCAATTGACTTTAATTTGTGTAAAATTTAATTATATTTTTTATTATACACTTTATTTTGTATATCAATTTACTTGAAGGATAGACTTGGTTGTCATCTTTATATCTAGAGACCGAAAATTTATTAGAAAAATAAAAAAATAAATAAAATCAACGTATTGAGGTTTATAAAAGTCTATTTTTTAAGATCCTCATTTTTCATATGAAACCTTCTTTCACCCTTACTGTTATTTAAAAAATGGGCAACGCTGTTTCCTCTTAAAAATCTTTCACCGCTTATTTTTTATAAATAGAGAAAACACTTTCAACTCTTTTTACGTTATTTTTCACCCTCTAAACTTTTTATCTAAATTTACCGTGGTTTTTTATCGTCTGCAAGATTTTGGCTAAAAACATATGTGTACTTTTTTATCATTAACCTCTCGAATGACCGATTTCTCAAAGTGTTTATTAATGACCAGGAGTTTCGGATGCTGGGGAAAATTCATTTGTCTGAAAAAATTCCAACTATTAAAAAAATAAAATAAAATAGCCAATTTTCGACTTTTAACTAATTTTATTTTTGATCTGAGTGTATTGGATGAGTAATAGATTACAGCAAAAAAATGTTCTTTGAATTAGAGAAAACAAAAGGATTTTCTCTTAGATACTTTATTTTTACTTATAATTAGAATAATCTTTGCAATATAATGCAATTTCAATATTCATTTAAATATATCACGAAATTTTTTTATTAATTAAATATGATTCAAAAATATAAATATGCTAATTGCCATTAAATTTGTTAAATATTATTGTCTGAATTAAAAATTCTCTGCCACGTTTATTATAAACACGTAATATTTTAATAATCCATTAATATTTTATCAATTACTTAATTTATTCGAATACATCATTTATACTTTTATATCACATATATTATAAAAGTAAATGAGTAATAATTATTTTATATTCCACTCTAACATGAAATGAATATAATAAATGCTTTTAATGAATTTATAATAACCAAATCCTACACGAGGAAAATTATACTTATATAACTACAAATGTCACTATTAAAATTTAAATTAAAGTTTTTCTCTGTATTTATTTATCATACATTTTTTATAAAGACAAAAAAATTAATTACAAAAAAAAGGACATAAATATAAGCTCTTGAGTAGATATTACTGCAAAGTATCACACAAATATAGAATCTTTTAACTTTATTCACCTCAATTCTTTACACTGATAGAAGGATTTTTTTGTATTTAAAAAGATTTGTTAATATTTAATAAATGATTTATTAGAGGATAGGTCCTTAACAAATATTTATTAACTTTTTTTTATTTTTTTTCTCGTTACGGTATAATTTTATAGTCTAAAAAAAAATAAGTTTTTGAAAATTTCAGTTCAAAATTCGAATTTTGAAAGGTCGCTCATAATTTTTTTTATTTTTCGTTAATTAGTCATATCGCCGACATTAAGTGTTGGGAGTGGTATGTTGGGGTCTTTTTGGTTTGAAAAAATCTTAACCTACGCGGCAAGGTAAAATCTCAGCCAAGCTGGTTTCTAAGACCAGCTTGGGATTCAAACCCTCGCCTGGCAGTTGATTAAATAAAATTATTAAATTAGAAATAAATTATATTTTCTATGTTGTGCTTGATTTTTAGTTCATCTCGTGATGTATTCTTATCGATTATTGTACTAAATAAAAAAAAAAAAATGCGTGGAATTTTAATTTGAATAGTAAAAGGTCGCTCGAAAAAATCTAAATTAATGCACTAATAAATTGAAAAAAATTATGAGCGACTTTTCAAAATTTAAATTTTGAACTGAAACTTTCAGAAACTTATTTTTTTTTTGGTCTATAAAATTATACCGTAACGAGAAAAAAAATTAAAAAAAAAAAATTTTCGATTTTTGACGATTTTTGAAATTTTGAAAAATTTGGAGTAACCTCTTAAAAATTTTTTTTGAGCTGTCCTTTGGTGAGGGTTCTTAAAACATCAAAAACTAACATTTTTTCACTCGAGACTAAAAAAAAAAAAATAGTCGGTTTTTTTTGCGCCACCCTAATATATATATACTTATTTACAACTACGCGTTAAGTAGAGCCATCTACTAACACCGACCACCAACAAAATATTTGTTAACTATTAACAAATCTTATTTGGTGGAAATAAATACTTTTTTTCAAATACACAAAAAGCTTCTTAATAGTTTCAAAAAATTTTGTTCTCATAAAAAAATTGATTTAGTTAATACTAACGAATATTGTTAATAGTAAAAAAAATATTTTTTTCCACCCAAAAAAAATATCTGAAAAAGATTTTAATAAATTGATTTATTAAATACAAACAAATCCTTCTATCAGTGTACTACATAATTTAGGAATATGACTTTCTGCTTTTTTTTTCACCGCTACTTCTATTATTATGCATATTTTATTTACATTTTTCAGTAACAAAACAAAAAAAAAAAAAAAAAAAAAAAAAAAGACGCGGTACTTTTAAGTAAACCTGCGGTTAACAAATTGCCTTAAATCCACACGTTCTGGATATCGTCTTAGCTCAACAAATCATCGAGACACGGGTGAAGAGATTAAGTCGAGAGATAAGTATATAAGAAATAATTCGCGGAAAGGATGTGTTTTGTACACGTTAAATATAAACTTCGCGTGATATAATTTATGCCCGTGTTAACACGAGATTTGTCAACTTAATAAATTTAAAATGTAAAAAAAAAATTTTTTTAATCAAATTTTTTTCAACTATAAAAATTTACGTCGCAAGCTTAAGCTTTTCATTGTTTAAAAAATCGATCAAAACTTTTTATCAATAAATTGACTTGTGCCTTAGCATATTGCATCAATAAATAAATAAAATTGTTCAGTAGTAATTTTGTTATTTTTTTCAAACGATCTTGAAATTTTGGCAGAGAATGCGAAAATAAAGACCTGTCAAAATTCGAGCACTTAATATTTTCTCATCTTTTTAAAAAAGTTTTGAATTCTGACTGAAATAAAAAAATTATGAATCAAGTTGTCAATATAAATAAGTAATAACTTTTAAAAATAACAATTTCTAAAGTTAAAACTGCAAATTAATTAATATTTAACTAAATTATTTTTTATTCGTAGAATAAGAAATAAAAATTTCACAAGATTTTCATTTTGACATTCGCTAATAAAATTTCAAGATCATTAAAAAAAAATTGTCGATATTTTTGATAACCCTGAGTATACATATAGAACTTTTTAATTTTTTTTTAATCATTCTATTCCGGGAGGTCTTTCTCAATACAAAAGTAAAAAATGACTATTGATGTCTATTGGCATTATTGCTTAAACAAGAAAAATAATTTTAGTAAAAACAAACTGATTTTTGATATGATTCAAAATGTAAAATAAATAATAAATGAGATATTTACTATTCAACGCGGTATAATATATCACAGGATAAGCTTGATAAATCAGAATTGTATGATATAGAATTTGAATTGGTAGGGCGTATACGTCCGAATGTTAATGGCACTGGCAATTAATTCAATTGACGCGGTGGTGTGTGTCCTCTGTCCCAAGCGGCTGCAGCATCCGTGAAACACGCGCTTGCCTTTACTACTGGCAGGTGTATGAGACATTTGTGCATGAGTTGTGTGTCATCGCTACTGTCTCTATTAATTAGCGCCTCTATTACCAATACGTCCTTAATGAGCACCCACTCGCTGAATCGGCTATTGATCCTCTTCGTTCATTTATATTCAACATTTCTTTCATAATAAAATTAAAAAAAAAACATTTTTCATTTTTTTTTATCTTCATTACGCATATTCGGTACTCGACGAATACCTAACCGTTAATTAGCTATTTTTAGTATGCAAAAAATCGGTAAAATTATTGATCTATTTTATTCAATTTCGAGTACTCAGTGCGCCAGTAAATGTGTAATAGCTTTCATAAATAATTAAACTATTAACAAAATTATTATCGTTAATATTTATATTTAAGTTTATACTTGCAATCAACGAAGTATATCAAATTTATGATCTATAAAATTCTGTGTAACCTTTCAGTGATATTAAATTTAAATGACCCATTTATTTTATTAACAAATTTACGGGAGTAATCTAAATTATTTTTTACGAGC